TTGTCGGTCTGAATATTCCCAGGCCTATTCCGGATTGTTCCAGTTTTACCCAGAGAGTTAGAGAAAGTTCTGGAAGCTTTTGGATTCAGTTAAATGGGCGCCAGTCTCCTCAGCTATCTCATATCATGTCTAACATTGTAAGAAGATCAAAGATCATTTTTAACCCTGGATACTCAACCCAGGCCTATTTTGGAGGTTTTGAATATTATTAGACTGTATTCAATGCTATGATCAAGGCTTGTACGTTATTGTAACACTGTTTTTGTGCCACCACTTTATTTTGTACTGTCATTATTTATAGAATTCTGTTGTAGTTATTTGCATTAATTTACTTTGTTAATTGTAATACTGCGTATAATTACATCACTTCTTTGCTTTTTTTGTTTGCTTGAATCCAAGTTCTTTTATAAAGAAGCGTAGTAGGGACAAGGTGAAAAATATTTTAGTCTGACTATCGCCTACGTAGGACTTAATATCTCCTACATAGGACTTAATATCTCTAACGTAGGACTTAATAACTCCGACATAGGACTCAATATCTCCCACGTAGGACTTAATATGCGTAGGAGATACTAAGTACTACGTAGGTGATACTAAGTACTAAGTCCTACATAGGAGATACTAAGTCCTACGTAGGAGATACTAAGTACTACGTAGGAGATACTATAACCTCCGTAGGAGATACTAAGTACTACGTAGGAGATACTATAACCTCCGTAGGAGATACTAAGTCCTACGTTAGAGAAACTACGTCTTACGTAGGAGATACTAAGTACTACGTAGGGGATACTAAGTACTACGTAGGAGATATTAAGTCCTACGTAGGAGATACTAAGTACTACGTAGGAGATAATGAGACATAATTCTCATCAAAACAACATTTTCAGGTAAAGTCTATTATTTACTTGTGGTATTGTGTAAAATCATCTTATCAACACTTTTGCTACATATTTTGACGATTGTTTGAACACAATAGGTAATTAATGGATTTTTTAAAAATACAAAACGCCTATGCGTTTCCTTTTTGGGGGATATTCAGTGAAAAATATAAACTAACGCCCAAAAGAAAGCCGATTTGAAGCTCGAAAGCTAAAAAACAACAAAACATTAATGATCAACATAAATGGTACAATATGTATCATCAATATGTACTGTCTATCAATATAATAGTATTTGTCACACAATAACCCGTTTGAAAAACCCTAGATCCCCCTCCGACTAATGTTTAATGATTGATAATAAATATATATCCAGTGAACCATATAAACTAACGTCCAAAAATAACTTGGCAGCCGATTTAATGCTCGATAGCGAAAAGACAACAAAACATAAATGATCAACATACAATATGTACCATCAATATGTCTGAGTCTGAGTTTGGTTTTACGGCGCTTTTAGCAATATTCCAGCAATATCACGGCGGGGGACACCAGAAATTGGCTTCACAAATTGTACTCATGTGGGGAATCGAACCCTGGTCTTCGGCGTGACGAGCGAACGCTTTATCCACTAGGCTACCCCACCGCCCCACCATCAATATGTGCTAAAGCTTTGTGTAAAAAGTCAAAACAATACAATGAGCAATTAATTAAATATGGCTGGCAATGTCCATGTGGGGTGCACAAAACAGTTTTTCAATACCTGTCCAAATGGTGAGCTCGGCACAACATGACCATAGGTGGTGTTGGGTGTCACACTAGTAGCGTGTGTGACCTTAATTGGCTTCAATGCAGGCAAACCTCCTTTGCAATGATTTCGTCAGTCGCCTGATGACTACACGTCGGGTGCGTCGCCATTCCTCATGGGGGGCCGCAATGACTTCATCTATGTGTTTTTCATGCCATTAATAATGGGTAATATTTAGGGGAATCCCCAACTTAATACTCGCTTTTCTATCTCACCTACTGAAGAGCTCGGTATCCTAGCTAGGATCGGTAGCTCAAGTTAGGACAGGGATAGGATCGTTTCGAGAATGGGTCTTATCCTAACGGTAGGAAGTCCTAACTCTTGTCCTAACTAGTTAAGATCTGTCTTAGCAGGGACACTCGAGAATAGACGCCCTGATGACTTCACGTGGGGCGCAATGACTTCATCACGGGTGTTAGGTGGTTGTGCCAACGTTAAATTTGTCCATGATATCCCAAATGTACTCTATGTAATTACCGTCTGGAGAACAAGCTAGCCAGGGTAAAACATGGACGTTGTTGACGTTAAGGAAGTTTTGAACCACGTCAGCAGTTTTAGAGGCCTGGCGTTGTCGTTTCGGAACATGGTATCCTGTGGCTGTTGACGAAGCAATGGAAGCACAGCAGGGTGTAGGATCTCATCTCTTTAGCGTACGGCATTCAAGTTACCATCAACGATGACCAGTGGCGTCCTCTCGTCACCACAAATACCTCCCCACACCATGGCACTCATACCCCAAAAGGGTACGACGTCTCGTACGCGACAACGAGCAGTACGTTATCCTCTTTGACGATAAACACATTGTCTGCCATCAGAATGGAACATGCAGACCTGCTGTCGTCGGTGACAAACGCCTCAATTGTTGCAATTCTCGCCCATCTCAGTCTTCGACGACGATGTTCATTGATCAACAGCGGGCCGCTGTAGTGTCTGTAGTCTCTAATACCTACTGCCATTATCTTCTTGCTACTGCTTGTTGTTGAACAGAAGACACAAAGCATTCGACGTCGATGACGTCACAGGCAAGAATCTGTTACGCAGATGCCAAGTGCATAGGTATCGACCCTCAGGGGGCGTGGTCGCCCTTGGTCTGTCTGTTCTTGGCTTGTCTCTTGCTCAACCTGTTATTTTGACTCGCTGAATCAAGTCGCCTACAGTATTACGGGATCAGTTCAATGTCATTGCAACATGGGTCTGTGATACCACCATTTGCAGCATTCCTATGGCCCTCTCGCGCTGTTCTTGTGTTAACATGGGCATTTCTTTAGTGGCTTTTTCTTCATACTGCATCTTTAACATGTGAACTGAACAGTTTTTATACCATTGTGCATGTGCAATTTCTATACACGCAAATCACGTGATTTCTGCAAAAAAATCACTATTTCAAAACACACGTCTAAAACACTGCAGCCTTTGTACGGATTCGTGGTGTAAGGATTGGATTGGTAACGTTTCCGTGAAAATATCTGTTTCTCAACAATCTAAATTTTTTTAGTTGCCATGCTTCTTTTGGACGTTAGCTTACATACAATAAAACTGACAAACACGCTTTTCAATATTCGTGGGGCTACAAATCACCCTACGGATATCACTGGTAATTATCGAGCAGTCATTAATACTTGAGGTCGATTTTGTAGCCCCATGAAAATTGCTGCTAATTACCAAGCACCAATTAATACTTGAGGTCGATTTTGTAGCCCCATCGAATATCACTGGTAATTTCCGAGCGCCCGTGAATACTTGGGGTTTTCATTGTAGCCCCATCGAATATCACTGGTAATTTCCGAGCGCCCGTGAATACTTGGGGTTTACATTGTAGCCCCATCGAATATCACTGGTAATTTCCGAGCGCCCGTGAATACTTGGGGTTTTCATTGTAGCCCCATCGAATATCACTAGTAATTTCCGATGGCCCGTGAATACTTGACCCTGATAACATTGTGCCGCTTAATTACTTGTGGTGATTCGATAGAGCCCAGCCAGAATGTGGTGCCTTGTGACATGCGGAAGCTAATACTACAATGACTTGGTATGGGTGAGTGAGTGAGTTTGTTGTTACGCCTCATTTAGCAATATTCCAACAATATCACAGCGGGGGACACCAGAAATGGGCTTCATACATTGTACCCACGTGGCGTCTTCGGCGTGACGAGCCAACGCTTTAACCGCTAGGCTACCCCACCGCTCCTGACTTTACTGAAGAAGAAGCGATAAGGACAACATGACCTGCTTTCATACCAATGCAGCTTTGCCGCTGTACATACATATTACAAATACAATGTAGTGTAGAAGAAAGTTGAATTTTGATATTTTGTGATTACTTCCAAAATGCTAGCCGTACGTAATGTATTGTGAAATTGATTAGATGAAGGATGTGATTATTATATAATCTGCAAAAAAACACGGAAGTTAAAAAATGGAAACATCTGACGGGATTTGGATAATATTCATACAGTGTGAACAACAAATATGAATTTCTCATTCTGCATGCGTCAGGTGTGATTTGTGCGGGCCGAATAAAGTATCACGCAGTCACGTGACTGAGTAGTTAGCAATGTTGCCCAGCAACTCTTTGTGATCAAACCTGAGGACAAGTATTTTCCCCAGCTTTCTCTCAAACAAAATATATATGGCCCAGCATCACCAACACCATTAGGTCAAATCACAAACAGTCCAAATCAAATGTAAAATGAATTATATATAAAGCCAATGTCATTGCATGCAGATAGTCTCATTGAAAGAGCTGCATTTTGTGGTAGTCTTGTTGGTAGCTGTGGTTACAATGGACACGACTCACTGAACACCTCAGGACTGCCTTCTGCAGCCTCTTTAGTATCAAATGAAAAGGCCATTGTAACCCCCAACCCCCGCCCAGCCCCCTCCAATTCTTTTAAAAAGGACGGAAGCACGTGACTGCTGTAACTGCTCCTCAACTCCATTGTATCCTTGAAGTCACAAGGCATCTTTACCCAGGACACAAGGTGCTGTATATATCATTAAGTAACTTACCTCACGGTTCCGGTCTACTCAACCTATGCACGATGTTTAAAGTGAGAGAGAAAGATTCGGCTCATGTTCTTCATGGTTTGTTGCCCGGAGCCAGAATTAATAAAACCAACAAGAAGATCACTGTCAGCACTGGCACGTCGAACGAGACTTTCATTTTTAATGTGGGTGGATCACTGTTTGAAACCTACGGATCCACTCTCAGCAGCCTTCCTTTCAGTAAGCTGGCGGATGAAGACTTTCTGAAGAAGCATTACAGGCAGGATAAGAATGATTATTTCTTTGATAGAAATCCTGATGTTTTCAAGGCGATATTGAACTACCTTCGCACGGGGGAGCTGCACCTCCCTGCCTGGCTGTGTGGGGCGTCAGTGAAAACTGAACTGGCGTTTTGGGGCGTGGAGGAGGATGAGATTGAGGAGTGTTGCTGGACAAACTACAGCTCGTGGACGACGACGTTGGAGGCGTTGAGGAAGCTGGAGAAGGACAGGAAGGGGGCGTTGGAGCACGTTGACGAGAGTCGGTATTGTTCATCTTCCAGGTGGCAGAGAATTCGGCAAAAGGCATGGGTCTTTATGAATAACCCACTATCTTCATCGTGGGCACAGGTAAAGTGAATTCTTCCATCTTCCATAAGTGGTTGTTTTGTTGATTGTTGTTTTACGCTGCGCTCAGTAATGTTCCAGTTATATGACGGCCGTCTGTAATTAATAGAGTCAATCCAGTGACCAGACAATCCAGTGACTGACGTCATGAACATCGATCTACCTTTTTAGAATACAATGACATGTGTCAACCAAGTCAGCGGACCTGTTCATTCGATACCGTTTGTCGCCCTTACTGCAAGCATGGTTTGCTAGTTTAAGACCAATTCTGTTCCGGATCTTCATGGGTCTCTTCTATAGATGAATGCTAAAGCATGATCAATTGCTTTTAGGATTAAATTAGTGGCCTATATGTGTGTTTTTCATACCGTTTGTTGGATACACTTGGCATGGGCACAATTGGTGTCCTAGTTTGAGGATTGACAGTGGTACTGTAAATATATAGAGGATATTATATGGGTGCCCATGTCATACTATGTTTACGACACGAGTGCCTAAATGTATTTCCCTTGGAGAGCGAGGGGTATACCGATATTTAGGCACGAGTGTCGTAAACGTAGTATGATATGGGCACGAATATAATATTCTGTTTATTACCGAAGTCGTCAAATTAAGAAAAATATACCCAAATCTACTTTCAAACATAGGCTGGCTGCCCGCCGTCGCTGCATGTATAACGCAACGTCACAGAAGAAACGTGACGTCATATCATTGTTCATGACGTCACGTCACCATGGCAAAGTGATATTTTGCCCTAGGGCATCGTATGAAAAATATGAAACGCGATATTTTCGCCCTCGTAGGTATTAACATACACAATTATCAAAATATCTTTGAAAATCATATTTGATGGATACATGCTTGACGATGATTTGCATAGTGGTAGTGAAAACTTGAAAGTGATTACCTACCGGTCCTGAATATTTCGAGGTGAAAACCCAGCGCTTGTCAATACTCGATAGTGGTTAATCATTGTCCTTTATTACGGTTTACTCCCATAAGAACTACATCCCACGTCAACTACATCCCAAATTAACTACAGGGATTAATTAGGGATTAATTATCTGAGTAGAGGCACCCCCATGGCATGTAATGAGCACAACCCATCAGGTCTCCCAGAAGAACTACATGCTTAAAATCAAAACTGTTGAGTAGCTTGATACAGTCTAACTGACCAGTACCTTATGTTGTTGTAAAGGTAATCTAATAACCAGAAAGTAAAGGACTGAGAGAGAAGGGTATGCTGTAGTCAGTGACAATGACCTAGAGACAATTTATACTTAAGAAATGCATTTCTTTTCTAAGATGCCAAATTTAATACTTTCTAAGGATATTTACGATTAATTTAAGGCAGAAAACAAACGACGGTGTCGGTGACCTAAATTAAGAATCCTCGCGCAGGGCTAACTGGCGCGCTGTTCTATTGATGTGTCTGTCCCCCTACGTTAAGACGAACGTTACCAGAAAAAAACAAATGATAACAGTTTGATGACGGTGTACGTTCGGATTAAATATCTTCTCTGAATTATTTTAATTACATCTGTGATTAACGTAAACCATATGGGGCAATATGAGCGTCGCATTTCTACTACCAACGTAAGTTTAGATCAGTACATCCAGACGAAGCTGAGTAGTCAAGCGACATTCCACGATTGCATTGTGGGAATGTAAACATTGCGAACGTTACCGTGTCGCTGAAAACTTGTGAGTCGAATTGAGACATTTTAACCGTCGTAAAACATAAACGTAATGTTTCCGCCAGTGATGTTAGCTGCGTGAAGCAACTGCAAACCAAGAAACGGGATGCAACGGAGTAGTTTACTGTAGGAGGCCGTACGAGGCGATGACAACTGACATGCATCGTGACGTCGCTTACATTGTGACGTAATGTAAAATGGTTCGATTACGAAGGGGCACACTAGAATGGTGCAGTGGCGGGACAACGTCATTCAATTGTTACGTCATCAAAACAACTATACCTTTATTGTAATTGTTTTTATTGTTCTAACCGCTAGGCATCTTAGAATTCATTTTAATTACCGTAAGCTCATGGATACTTGACGGCGACTACTGAACGATCATTCATACTTTAATGTGATTACCCATCTAATTAATGAAACAGTGATGTCCTAGCAACAAAGAAATTGTTGGCCTGGAAATTCTCATATTACGTCTAGCATGACGATGATTACCTGCCGCTTGGAAATTCCTTACGGTGATTCCATAACTCAATACTGATGATTACCTATCGCTTATCTATAACTCCCAGTGATTGCCTAACGCTCATCAATAGCCAAGTGCGTTTAAGACTTCATAATGATTATCTAGTTATTGTAAGTATTTGATGATTAAAGAGTTCCTATAGCAACTTAACAACAATTATCTATTGCCCATGGATAACTGACGATGATTATCTACCGCTAATAGGAATGTTATGACGAAGATTAGTAGTTTTGTCGTTTTGTAAATATAGTGCACATGGCTTTATCATATCAGAACAGTGAGTGGGTATGGTATTACGCCGCTTTTAGCAATATTCCAGCAATATTACGACAGTGGACACAAGAAATGGGCTTCACACATTGTACCCATGAGGGGAATCGAACCCGGGCCTTCGGCGTGACGAGCGGACGCTTTAACCACTAGGCTACCCCCACAGCCCACAGCGTCAAGATTACTTGAGGTCGACTTTGTATTTGGTATTTGTGGAAACTCAGTGAAAATGAGCGGCTATGAATACTTGACCCTGATTACCTGCCTTGTAGTCAGATGTCACATACGTTTTATCTGGGATTACACGGTGGCCGCGGTGGCTGAGCGGGTTAGGCGGCTGTCTCTTTGTGTGGGTTCGAATCCCGGATGGGACTCAACCCAACAAAAGTAGAATCTGTTCTATACTAAGAAAGTGTAATCCCATGTTACATATGTTATAAATGAAAGTTGTTTTCGGCATATCAAAGGGCGAATCAATCAATGAATTGAGTACACGAGGTGATAACGATGTGAGATAGTGAGAGACATGACTGTGGCGCTCACTATAATAGTCGATAATGTGATATGTGAGGGGTCGAAATTCCTAGTGACGTAAACCGTGAAGGTCCGGGTTAGAATGAACCTTCAGTAACCCATGCTTGTCGTAAGAGGCGACTAACGGGATCGGGTGGTCAGGTTCGCTGGCTTGGTTGACACATGTCATCGGTTCCCAATTACGCAGATCGATGCTCATGCTGTTGATCACTGGATTGTCTGGTCCAGACTCGATTACTTACAGACCGCCGCCATATAGCTGGGATATTGCTGGGTGCGGCGTAAAACTAAACTCAGTCACTCCTAGTGACGAATTGCATCCTGTAAACCAGTGAAACCGTGAGTTCTATCCCTGGTGACGGTTACGTTCACAAGAAAGTTGGAAGTAATGCACGTCTTTGATGTTAACTTCTTGTGAGACCTAACAAAGATAATCAGGGCGAGCCAGCATATAAACACGATTGTTTGTTTCTTTGCTTGCCTGTTTGTTTGTTTGTGTACGGTTGAGAAATTACTGAGATAAAAGGCTTGTGAGTCCCCTTTAAACCAGAAACATAGAGCACAGACAAGTCTATAATATTCAATACTATATTGAATAAACAATAAACAGGGTTACAATGAATGACAGTACAGATTTCCAATGCAATAGAGTTAAGTCACAAATCTAAAGTACTGGGTCACAAATCTAAAATATTTACTCACCAAAGTATCGATATTCCCAGTAAAAACAGATGCACTGATTGAAGATTGTTGACAGCTGTTGAATTCAGTGTAGACGAGGCCTCTTGAAAAGTAGATGTTAGTAGACAGACGAGCGTAAATTCAAAGTAGTAGTAGTCCCCTCATACATCTCAACAACCATCCCTTATATACCTATTATACAGAAGAAGAAGCCACAGCACGCCAGAATCATGTAGAAATTACTCACAGCTTCTCACAATCCGACCGGAAGCAAAGCAAACAAAGTGCAGGTAACTCCCAAGCCCACTCTCAACATGTGAAAATACATAGCATAAGTTCAAGTTGTGAGTTCAAATCCACTCAGCGCTTTTAACTTTTGTGACCCATAACAACTGAAAGTTATTTAATGTGGCATTATAATAAACGCATTCTCATAACAGTTTGTTTTTTAAGTTTCTGCTGATTTACTTACCGGTATCCAATATGGCTGGAATATTACTGAGTGCAAGGACCTACTTTGTTTCCGGCTTCCGTCACACATTAAACTGTTACGCCGTCACCACGGCAGTATTTTACAAGGCAACGTTGAACCAGGGTCATTCACTAACTCATGTTTCATTTCAGGTTTTTGGTTTGATATCAATGAAGTTCGTGCTCCTGTCTATCTTCTCATTCTGCGCTGAGACACACGACAGTTTTCACACTTCCGGTTCACAAACAGACTTGCAATTGTCATTGAAAAACGGCAGTGACGTCAACGACTCCCATGATGCCTCTGGCGTCCACATCCACCCATCGCTGTTTATCATTGATGTCACATGTGTGGCCTACTTTCTTCTAGAGTTTATTACAAAGTTCATATTCTCCCCAAGCAAGTTGAAATATTTCATACTACCAATGACTATAATGGACATCATAGCTCTGATCCCGGATATCGTCGAGATGTCGTATCGTCTGTCTACTTCAAACTACTACTCACGTGACACACTCGACGTACTTCCGATAATGCGCATCACAAGGATCTTCCGTATTTTCCGCCTCATGCGTCACATTCCAGGTTTATGGATCCTGTTCTACACCCTCAAGGCGAGTTTAAAAGAGCTTCTTCTCATGCTGTTGTTCTTGTTCGTGGGGATGCTTGTGTACTCTTCCCTCATCTACTTTGCCGACGACAGGAGCATATTTACCAGCATCCCTGAAGGGTTCTGGTGGGCGCTCATCACCATGACAACGGTCGGATATGGCGACATGTTTCCGGTGACGAACGTTGGCTACCTTGTTGGCTCAGCTACAGCTGTCTCAGGCCTGCTGATGATCGGGTTCACAGTCCCCATACTCGTCAACAACTTTCTGTTGTATTACACTCACACCCAATCCGCAATGGTGAGAGAACGGAATAGGGAACAGAGGATCAAACGCATTGAAGCTGAATCCAAGAAACGAAGACCTAGCTTGTTCTGGATATTATCATCAAAAGTGCAACCGACAGGGCCAACGATGACAAATACGTCATCGTTAGCCTCAATGGCTGACAAAGTGTCAAAAAGTATTGTGAAAAACACTTCAAAGGTGGCTGCAATGGCAGGTAGCGAGACCAACAGTGTTGACCAAACGTTTCATTTGATGGCAGGAAATGTGTCCAAGCCTACCAACAATGCAGAAACGCCATCTGCAGAGAACGAGTTAAATACTACCAAAAATGAAGACGCGTCATCTGCAGAGAATGAGTTAAAGACTACCGACAATACAGATGCTTCAACTGCAGACAGTATGTTAAAAACTACCGAAACGACATATATGTGAACTGCAGACAGCATGATAAGGTCTACAGACAAGACATCAACGTCAACTGCAGACAGCACGTTAAAGACTACCAACCAGACAGTGACTAATAAAGGTCAATCCCCTCTTCCATGGAATACAATCTGTCAGTAATAATTTCCAAAGGCAGAAAAGCTGTCAAAAATGTGGCAAAATGATTGAGATGCCAGCATCTCTGGAACAAGGTGTCAAAATGTGCTGACAAAACAGATACGTCAATTTAAGCGTTTATGTAAGGGGTCCCTAGCGGAAAGACTTGACAAATATACTCGACAAAATAAGTTAGGGATATTTCTAGTTTTATGATTGATATTTTATCAGTGAGTCAGTTGATAAATAGATCAATATTCATAATTTCAAAATTAACATATATCCCTAACTATTTTTGTCCAGTATATGTTACAGATACAGGGAGGAATGTTATGACGAAGATTAGTGGTTTTGTCGTTTTGTAAATATAGTACACATCGCTTTACCTCATCATATCAGAACAGTGAGTGAATGTGAGTATGGTATTACTCCGCTTTTAGCAACATCACGGCGGGGGACACCAGAAATGGGCTTCACACGTTGTACCCATGTGGGGAATCGAACCCAGGTCTTCGGCGTGACGAGCGGACGCTTTAACCACTAGGCTACCCCACCGCCACTCTAATAAAGTCTCCGGAAACGAGACGTGCCATTGGGAGAACGAGTCACGATCATGAAACCGAACTTCATGCAACAGTCATAGTATAAACCATACACGTCGCTGTACAGCAAGACAATGGTATTGTTTCGTTGCATACCTTAAAATTACTGAAGTAGTATGCATATTTCCAGAAATATATCATTCAATGGCAATTTAAAAATACACTTAATAACATAGGCTCAGCATGAGTAGCCTTGTGAAGCAATCGTTTTGAAAGCGAAGTGTCGTGTCCCGCCCCGATACATTTTTAAAAAATCATTGAAAAGACTAAGTGTGATGGTTGTCGGGTAAACAACTGATGACACATAAGGTAAACTATGTGTTATTTGAGGTTGACATACTTGGGTGGGTCGCTTGTAAATAGTTTTCTCGTTGGTACAACTGCGACTTCTGCCTCCTTTGATGTCAGGCTGACATCACTGTCAGCTGGGATGGTGATGTTCACTCAGTACACTCAATGCCGTTTAGAAAGGGGTCAAATGTAAAATATGTTATATTTGGGATTCTGCTTTCACAGTAAAGAACATAAGTCTCTTATCCTTCATGCTTGTCGTAAAAGGCGACTATGCTTGTCGTAAGAGGCAACTAACGGGATCGGGTGGTCAGGCTCGCTGACTTGGTTGACACATGTCATCGGTTCCCAACTGCGCAGATCGATGCTCATGCTGTTGATCACTGGATTGTCTGGTCCAGACTCGATTATTTACAGACAGCCGCCTTATAGCTGAAATATTGCTGAGTGCGGCGTAAAACTATGCCCACTCACTCACTCACTCACTCACTCTCTTATCCTTCATACTTTCCCTGACCACCACCAGGTTAATGAATGAATAACTTTGTCGGCACTTGTGCACGTGCTTCTCGTACACCTGGCTGTTCCTCTCTTTTATATTCCTCCCTCGTTACAAACAGTGAACTGTGTAAATATTTTAAAATCATTTGTTAAACAACGTTTTCATTTTTAGGATATAAATTGTGCAAAAAAAATCACAGAGTTTGTCTGATGTGTGGATTATGATCAGTGTTTCATTGAGTAATATTTGTTTATTAGTTTTCGAGTTAGATTGCAATTAATCGGTCCGCTTTTGAGGCAAACGGACTATAACAATACCTCAGTTTTCTCGTCATTTAGTTTTAGCTTCCTTTCATTGTACCCATGTGGTGAATCGAACCCGGGTCTTCGGCGTGACGAGCGTACGCTTTAACCACTGGGCTACCCCACCGCCCCTCTTGTCGTAAGAGGCGACTAACGGGAAGTAGTGGTCAGGCTCGCTGACTTGGCGGAAGCGGCGTAAAACTAAATTCACTCATAATAATCAAGCACCAGCTTCCCAAATAGCATTCGAACGTTGGCCCAACGTTGGCAATGTTGGCAAAACCATTGCCAAAGTTGGGCCAACGTCTGAATGCTATCTGGGTTGTGTAGGGAACGCCAAACGCCTGTTCATCAGTGAAGGAGGTGAGGTGAAATTGGGTTCAACGTCGTGCTTGAGAATATTTCGCTCATATGACGACGTGCATGCGTGTGTATGTGTATGTGCGGCTGCTTGTACTAGCCCAGACTGAATCAGCTGGTTTTATAGTGCTAGCCCATTGAGATACCATGCCGCAGTGAAGCATGAATACCCCACTCAGACACATTATACTGACTCCGAGCCGACCAGTCCTTGTTGTACCCATTAATGCCGAGCGCCAGACAGGGACCAACAAGTACCATATTTTAACGTCTTTTGGTATGACGCGGTCGGGGATCGAACCCGCGACCTTCCGCTCTCCGGGCGGACGCTCTAACCACTACACCACGGAGGCGGTCCATCAGTGAATGAGTAAGAGTTGATGTTAAAACGCCGACTCACAAACGGACAAGAAACATTACTTATGACAGATATATGACAGCGGTCTGAAAATAACCCAGCGTGAAGGTCCGGGTGAGAATTGATCTTCAGTAACCCATGCTTGTCGTAAGAGGTGACTAACCGGATTGGACGTCAGGCTTGCTGACTTGGTTGACACATGTCATCGTATCCCAATTGAGTAGATCGATGTTCATGCTGTTGATCACTGGATTGCCTGGTCCAGACTCGAGTATTTACAGAACGCCGCCGTATAGCTGGAACATTAATGAGTGCGGCGTAAAACTAAACTCACTCATTCACTGTAAATAACCAGACAATCCAGTGACTGACATCATGAGCATCGATCTACGCGATTGGGATACGATGACCAAGTCAGCGAGCCTGGCCACTCTATCATGCTAATCGCCTTCGACAAGCCTGGGTCACTGAAGTTCAGTCCTAACCAAGAACTATGGTTCAGCAGCATGACCGCGTGTGTGTATGGTCGTGTACAGACCACCCTGATTACTGGCTGAGAGCGTAAAATGTGACCCATCCTCTTCGATGACCACCAAGGAGCGGTGGGGTAGCCTAATGGTAAAAGCGTTGTCTCGTCACGCCGAAGACCCGGGTTCGAATCCCCACATGGGCACAATGTGTGAAGCCCATTTCTGGCGTCCCCCGCCGTGATGTTGCTGGAATATTGCTGAAAGCGGCGTACAACCAAACTCAGTCAGTCAGTCAGTCGATGACCACCAAGCCCTAACAAATGGGACCCGTGAAGATCCGGGATAGAATAGGTCTTCAGCAACCCATGTGCTTGCCATAAAAGGCGACTATGCTTGCCATAAAAGGCGACTATGCAACGGGATCGGGTGGTCAGCAGGCTCGCTGACTTGGTTGACACATGTCATCGGTTCCCAATTGCGCAGATCGATGCTCATGCTGTTGATCACTGGATTGTCTGGTCCAGACTCGATTATTTACAGACCGCCGCCATATAGCTGGGATATTGCTGAGTGCAGCGTAAAACTAAACTACCTCACTCACTCACCCTACCAAATGGTAACGACAATTAATAGGCCACTGAGGACCTCTCACAAACCCACGGTCCAGTTTCGTCGAATTCAAATGTTTTGTTTGTTTGGTGTTCAGCAATATTTCAGCTACATGGTGGCGGTCTGTGAACAACTGAGTCTGGACCAGACAATCCAGTGATCAACAGCATGAGCATCGACCTGCGAAATTGGGAACCGATGACATGTGTCATCCAAGTCACCAAGCCTGACCACCCGATCCCGTTAGTTGCCTCTTATGACAAGCATGGGTGACTGGAGGTTCATTCTAACCCGGACCTTCACGGGTTCATACGTGAGAGTCTCTGTCAGCTTATTTCCCAAATACACTATTGTGGCGAAACTGCAGCAATTTTAATAATAGAAAAGAACATGATATATTTTCGTGAAAAAGAAGAAAACCCACACATTATCAGTTGAATCCGATTGTGTTGCCATAGCAACAAACTAAGATTAAAGGTGAGCTATAACTAGCCGTTGTTTAGTTCATGTGTTCAGTGAAAACGATATCCATTAACTCATTCTTCTTTCTGCGGAAATGTCATGCTGGTGACTTAGAATAGGTAATAGCATTTATATGATTTAGAATATTACTAAAATAATATGACTCTCACAACTAACCGGTAGACCATCCTACTCTGGATGTTCCCATGGTAACCAACAAACTTATCTGTCGGATGCTTGATGAGCATTATCTGTCGCCATATTGATTTGTTGCACCAGATAATCCAGTGATCAACAGCATGAGCATCGATCTATGCAATTGGGATACGATGACATGTGAGAACCAAGTCAGCGAGCCCGACCATCTGATTCCGTTAGTCGCCTCTTACGACAAGCATCAGTTGCTGAAAACCAATTCTAACCTGGATCTCTTTACGGGCTCGCCATAGTGACATGTGAGCCCCTGGCGACAGGTACCCGAAACACAGTGTTGATATAGATGCCGTTTCGCTGTAAGGAACTCGCATGTTTATTTTTTAAATGCTGAAATATTCGGCGGACTGTAATTATTAGTGTCTGGACCAGACATTCCAGTGATTGACACCATGAGCATCGAATCGGGATACGATGCCATGCATGAGCGAGCCCAATCCCACGAAAGTCACGTCTTACGAAAAGAATGAGAGTATAGAAAACCCAGATCTTCACGGGTCTGTGAGGAATTGGAAAGTGCATAAATGGCAGACGACGGCACATATTTCTTCCAGTTGATCGGGGCTGTAGCGCGTTCCTTATTCCATACAAATAACACAGCGTCATTTAAAATTCAAATATTGTTTTTTTAGTAGGGCTGGCAATCGATATATACTGCCCATCAAAAGTTTAGACGCACTAGTGTAAATGTAGCCACTTACTTCAGTCAACTCTTCTAAGCTAGATTTTGCTAAATATTTCATAATGTTTAAAGGTACTGTTTACACATGAACTGATGTATTGTAAAACAAATTCCTAATGTTGAAAAGATTATTTTCATGAGTTCAATAAATCATGAAACACAGTGAAAATTAGCGAATTCTTGACAAAACTTTACACCAAAACGCAGCTGTTCACATGCACGATATTTACACATGTTCAGCGATTTGATGCATTACAGTCGTGCAATTCATCTGCTTAAGGTGTGCACATTGTTCCCTAATTTAGTGGAGAATTCATCTTTGATGTAACAATATATATATATATATATATACATATACATATACACATAACATATAGTGAGTGCTTTAGGGGAGTGCTAAACTTTTGATGGGTAGTATAGATAATAAAGATCGATAGTTGTTAACTCAATAGCGATCGATGATCGATAAATATCGTAAGCGTAATTTGAGCCAAAATGCCATAAATATGTGATAGAAATTGATATATCTCACAG